CTGACTGACCGACCGGTACCGTTTCTGTTTCGGCCTCTCGGCCTCTACCGGAACCGGCTATAGGCTATAGGACCGTCTATCAGAATAGGCCCTTAGGGCCTCTGTCCTAGGGGTAGTCCGGGCCTGCTATTCGCAGTTAGGGTAGGCTGTAGGCAATTCTGTTAGTATAGGGCCTGCATTTTTCCCGAATTTGCAGATATATCCCTCACGAATTTCCCTCACAGGTAGGTCTCTCGGTTAGCCCTCAGCCAAACAAAATTACAAATTTATCCTACCTATAGTACAGCCTCGACAGAGAGAGGCTACAGGCGACCAGAAAACAGCAAGTCATTGCAGACCTACCCTCCCCCGGAGCGAGGACCTCCTGGCTAGGGGTGTAGGCGTGCAGAGCGCCGAAGGGATACCCCCTTCTGTGCTGCCTCATATTTGATGATAACTGACTTTGCAGCCTTCAGAAGTTCCTTGCGAGTAAACCAGCGGTCCTTAGTATCCGGCTGGTACAAGAACTTCACAAGGTACTCCTTGTCTGGGCCTGTTCCTGACTCATCCTCCACAGATTCCACCTCATATCCCTTACCAGGGATAGGGGGACCGAACTGAGGAGGCCTGGAGGACCAGAGCCAGATGTTGCACATGCTCCTAGACAGAACGACTGAATACCAAGATGTCATCAAGGTAGACAACTACGAACTTGTCCAGGTAAGGCCTAAGGATGTGATGCATCTCTGTCTGGAAGGTGCGTGGGGCATTGCAAAGACCGAAGGGCATGACCAGGTACTCATAGGTGCCATACCTAGTTTTGAAGGTTGTTTTCTGGACATCGCCTTCAGCCATCTCAATCTGGTGATAGCTTGATTTGAGGTCGATCTTGCTAAAAATGGTACATCCCTGCACCATGTCCAACATATCATCAATACAAGGAAAGGGCTTTGTAGACTTCCTTGTGATTTTGTTGAGACCACGATAGTCCACGCACATCCTGAACTCACCATTCCCCTTTGGAACAAAGAGGACTGGTGTCCCAAACTCAGATGTGTTGGGCCTGATCCAGCCCTTGCTGGTCAAGGTCTCTAACTGTTTCCTGAGCTCTTCAAGTTTAGCAGGTGACATCGTGTAGACTTGGCCCTTGGGAGGCACCGAATCAGGCAGGATCTCAATCTTATGTTTGGTTTGCCTATGGATAAGTCCAGTAGGCTCCTCCATAAAATCTGAGAAATTGTCTACAACCTGCTGAATCTGAAGGGGACAGGGAGCAGTCCCCACGTCAGTCTGTTTGACATAAGCCACAAACAGACGGGCGTGGTCAGTCTGGCATGAAAATCGCAGAAATCTGCG